GGCAAAAAGAATAATGTAAAAAGCCATGGGTTAAAAATGCAATGTAAGTCGCTTTGGATAAAAGCGTCATATCATGTCATTTTCACACAGACCCCAAAAAACCTAAATGGTAAGTTTCAAAAGTACTATGACCCCTGCCTCACACCACGTCTTCTTTAATGTCCATGGATAGACCTGCTTTCATGTTAAAAATCTGAGAGGGGGGGCCAACCGCCCACATCTGGGCTCATTACATCCTCCTCAATCTTTATATCCGTCCCTTACAGCAATTAGGTTAATATCTCTTCACCTCGCATTAGCTCAGTATGCCTGTGATGGGACGTCCTACTGTGGAGCGGGGGGGGGGGGGGGGGGAGAAATCATGTCCGACTCTTCCTACCCCACCTGCCCTCACGTCTCTCTCCCCCTCTCTCTCTTTGGTTCACATCTGTTGGTTGGCCCCTCGCCCCAGAGGCAGTCACCACGGTTGCTGAGCACTGCTGTGAACTAAACTGGCTGACTGGCAGCTCAATATGTTTCTTACATAAGGACGGCAAGAGAGCGAGAGCGAGGCGGGCTGACTTCATGCTTTCACCTGTAGGGAGCGCACGGCCCACTGAGCCGCTCCAGAAGTCACAGGCGCTGCGGTTACATGGCTGCACACGGACCCCGACCACAAACAAAGCACCATAACCAAGGAAGAAGAAAACCGTTCAATGCCAAGATGACTTGGGCATATTTCATTCTATCTAAAAGGAGGGAGAGGAGGCATACACTCGTACTGCACTTGAATTGAATGATGGACAACATCGCCATAGAAGCCATCTTGCCATCCTGTGGACAGATCCTGCAAGCTGTCGTGACCGGCCCGACGGTTCTCAACTTTGGTTCGAGTGTCGATATTTGATTTCTCTTTAGAGGGGTCCAATAAAGACTTTCAATCAATCAGCGCTACCATGTGGCCGGCTGGAGTCATGTTTCCAGGTTTAAGCCAAGTTTTACGTTTCTAGATCAGGAATTTAAGGTCAGACAACAAATTAAACCAAGCCCGCACAAACTAATTCAATTCAATTAATTTTATTTTGTATAGCCCAAAATCGTAAATTACAAATTTGCCTCAGAGGGCTTTACAGTCTGTACACATACGACATCCTCTGTCCCGGAACCCACACATCGGCACAGGAAAAACTCTAAATAACACATTGTTTGTTTTAGATGCTCAACGCGTACAGAGTGAGGCCAGGTTTGAACCCAGGGGCCCCAGTCTGGGCGTCACAGCTTCGGAGCAAAAGTCACAGCCGAGAGTTACTAAACATGGTGTGTATTTATGTGTATTTAAGTAATTGTTGCGTGTGTGCACATCTTGTTATGAATGCGCCGGTATGTGCGCTTCTGTGACCATCTGGGAAAATCTAATATATAATATGCTTATGAAGTCTTCTAATGTATGGACGTAATGTATAAGCGTGCCGTCTGTTTCCATATGTGTGTAACAATGTTTGCCTGTGTGTGTGTGTGTGACTATGTTTGCGTGTGTGTGTGTGTGTGTGTGTGTGTGTGTGTGTGTGTGACCTCGGGGAGGTTGTGTCTCTCCGTTCCACTATTTCTTTCCATTTGGTTTCCACTTCACAGCCTACAGCACACATTAGCCAAACAAACCCCTGGGAAATGCGCACAAACACACACACACATCCACAAACACACTAAGGCTCCCCACCCAGCGGGTACACAAAACTGTGGGTTAATCTCGGCCTTACAAAACCTCCCTCCATGTGCATTGACAAAGTGGCCGTCTCTGCATTGTGGCACCTTCCCCCTAACTGGACAACTATCACCTCCAAAACGTACAATTTATTTGTGTGAGATTAAGTTTAGTTGAATCTTAATGTGATGTTTCCGCTTCTCCCTACAAGTGGTCATATATTTAAACTATGGTCGTCATCATCATTGCTGACCAATTACTCTACGGTACAAATGTCCATAAGATTGTTATTGGCCATTCAGGCTAACATAAGGATTCCTCACTGTCCACTACAGCCTGCTTGTGGTGTGCGCGTAGGGCGAATATAAATATTGGTGGTATCAGCATCATATCTGGAAGCTAGAAGAAAATATACAAGAAAGATCTGGACATTCCTAGTTTATGGTGAAAATGACCGATCTTTATGCCTCTAATATGTTTTGGACATTTTATCTTTGGTTGTCATCAAACATTGCAATGTGTAATTGTGTAGTAATTAGTAGTAAAGTAGGTAATTATTCTCTGACCATACAGAATCAAAAAGGTTTCAGAGTATATGGTTAAAAAAGTCTTTCTCAGCTGATGGGGCTCGACTCCAAACATCTTAAATAGTCCAGAGATTAAAAGCCGGTGTAAATCTTTGATCAGACGCCAGTCTCAGCTGACCTCTTCCTCCGGTTGGTGGTGATGGAGTGGCAGCATTGGTCTATGAATACAGCGCCGCCTCCTCCTCCTCCTCCGACCTCCTCCCACATTTCTATACATACGCAGTAGACATTTTTAAGACGGGTGCAAAAGAAGTAACCAAGGAGTAAAAAAGCAAACAGCAACAAAGAGACGGCTATCGGTCCAGTGAAGGCTGCTGCCAGCGCACCATCTGCTCATCCGTTGGGTGGAAGTGCCGGTTACTTCCAGGGCGGTCAAAGACAACGTGGGAAGATTGAGGAGAGTTAGATGGGGAGGAGTGGAGGGGGGGGGGGGGTGCCTGCCTTTGAACGCTGTGAACGAGCAGGGGGAAATTAAGTTTCTGGACAGAAAAAAGGTCCCGGCAGTGGGCGACCAGCCCAGCCAAGCGGTAGCAGGAAGCGAGCGCCTTGTGTGTCCCCAGATTTACGGTGACGGGTCCATCCACCGGCCATCTGGGGCCGGCGTAAATAAATTTAACCGGACTGCGAAGAAAGGATAAAGGACTTCAATAGAGAGAAGTAAACGGGATTAAGTTGCACTATTTTGGAGGAAAAACAGGAAAGGGGCGAAGTTGGATCCCAACAGAGGTAATGACAGGCGGATGAGACATGAAATGACAGAGGAATAAAAATGTCTCGTAAAAAAAGACTGTGGGCGGAAGAGCCAAGAGAAGGGAGGGGGGGGGACACACTTAAAGTGCCATTCTGTAACACACAGTCTTTTGTCGTTGTCTCCAAGCCACGGCTGACATCACATCTGCCGCCGGCCGGGGACCTCGGCACATGCCACGAGAAGAAGCCGTTCACGAGAAGGCGGCTGCTGCCGTCAGTGTGTGCCAGCCGTTGTCTCAGCTGGAGTTGTGCAATCTTCCCGTGTTTGCCGTGGAAGATAAGACTAGATAAGGCGACCGGTGACTCTCTGACCTCTGCAAAACGTTTTGCACTACCAATAAGTGACCAATGAATGTTATGAAAACAATCTAACATTTTGGCACAGAATGAGAGCAAGAGAGAGCCATGTTTTCCAAGAAAACATGTGGCTTCATCCGTTTTCCCCCTCCAACATCTTAATGGAGCTACGTCACGCACCTTCGTCTAAATGGCTTTTTCATTCTCTACTTCCTGCCAAATTGAGTGAATTGACCTCAAACAACGAGGGACTGAGTGTTGTCCAGGAAACAGAAACTCTTAGATTTGGAGAGAAATCCAAGACGTCACCTACTGCGACGATTCCTTGAAATAACATTAAATGAGCAATCATTTATGTCAGCGATAAGCGGAGGGTCTGGCCAAAAAGGGGGGCTACTATGTGTTTATTTTGTAGTGCAATCATAAAAAGGTATAGCTGCAACTTGTGGGGCAATAAAATCCACTTTTCATTTACCTATTTCTAACCTTCAATTAAAGAAGGATTTAACTTCACTTCACTTCAACTTCAAGCTTTTTCTTTGGTAATATTTTTCCCCCTCAATATGGAAACTTTGTCTTTGAGATTGTGTCGTCAGCCGCAAATCAACCCACAAGATTGAGTTCTTTTTGCACTCACTATTAGCCCGTGTGCCCCTTGTGGCTGTGAGGCGTTAAGACAGAACACAGATCGCTCAGCGTGAGGGGCAGTTAAACATCTCCACAATAAAACCTCTAGGGAAACGAATCAAATCCTCTTTGTGACATTCAAAGCTTTTAAATCTATCGGACTGCAACATTTACTTTTTTTTTCCCGACAGCGCTTAGCTAACAACTGATCGTAATCCATCTGACTGACAAACAAACACACACCAAAAGTTCTGAGAACAAGAATGACATCTCCATCCATCAACAGCCTTCAAATGCTCAGAGACAGCGGGCGAGACTGATAACACCCTCCCCCGCCCCCTCAGACAGCGTGCAGGCACTGTAAGACAGATATGCATCTCAAACGGAGGCGGCGTGAAAAAAAAAAAAAAAAAAGTAATGTAGAAGGAAAAGCGAGGCTTCAAATGGGCGAGAATGTCAGAGGAGAGTTTGAGCTCTGAGCCTGTGTGTTTATCTCCCTCTCAAGTCGGACTGAAGAACGTGGGACTTGAGGGAGAGAGAAGTGACCTGACTGCCAATGATCCCAAACTGTTCCTTAAAGCTTCACCGACCACCGCAGAACACCTCAGACAAGTTTACCAAAGACCCAAAGACACCAGGACCAGATAAATGGAGGACTGCAAAGTCATGAGTGTTTTAAGGGGTTGTTGTTTAGGGAGGGTGTTGAGTTGACGATGGGTGCTGAGCACCTCGGAGGAACAGCAGGCGATGACAGCCCACCCCCCCACCCACTGAGCTCAAACGGCAAAACGCTACGACTCTAACTAAAAAAAACAAGAATGAAGAAGAAGAAAAGGTGCAAGAACAACCTGGGAAATTCAAGGCGTGATGGAGTCCAGTGAGCATAGAGAAACAAAAAGACACACAGCCCCTCGTGCATGAATCAGGGAGAAGAGGAGGCAGTGAATCTACTGGTGGTCCGGCCTCTGCGTCCCACCCGCGAGCTGCATCCACGTAGGGCGCCTTTTTATTCACTCATTTTCAAATCTGTGGGTTCCCTGAACAACAGCTGAACTTACCAGGATCCCGGCGAACTGCTTCTCTTCCATCCTTCAGGGACCTCGTCGGCAAAGATACCCCGCCTCTCTCTCTCTCTAACCTCCGGGATGGACTCGTCCGCCGCTGGCTATCGCTACAGTTCTCTGAGGTGGCGTTCGGCTCGAGTGTCCCGGTCCCCCCTCGTTGCCTCTTCTGCGTCGCTTGCGAGTGGCGCTGGAGTGGCGTTGCCGCTTTGTGTCAATTCTGCCCTAATCCAGAAACTTTTCTATGCTGTGAAAGGAACATGTGACAGACAGAGAGAGAGAGGGAGGGAGGGAGGGAGGGGGGGAGGAGTGGGGGGGGGGGGGAGGGGTGGAGAGGCAACACTTTTTTTAGTTACATGGTATCCGGTGGTCAAAAACATTCTCCTCCGCCCTCGGTTTGCAACACGCTGCCATGTAAAAAAACAACCAAAACAGAAAATCCACCGTTTTCACTTTGGAAGGGCTGCCGAGGGAACGGAGAGGTGGAAGTTAAACCTCAGAGGACAGAGAGAGAGAATTTAGAAAACATGTAGTAACAGATTTGCATTTTGTAGCAAAGCAGCTGGCATAACAAAGTGTTCTTTTGTGTGAAGAGATTAACTATTGGGGCAACGTTCAGACGGCCCACCGACTGCCGCTGACGGGCTGCAGAGGAACACTCGAGGAAACCGCCTGTAAAGGAAAGTGGCTCAGAGTACTTCTGACGGGGAAAAGCGTCCGACACCTATCGACTATATTTTCATTCAGGATGACTTTTTGAAGTAATAATTATTATTTGATTTGATGCGATGCGATTTTGCTGTAATAAGGCAGCATCGTTTGTAAAGATATGGTAATTTAACTTGAAATAATCAGAGTAGACCTGGATGACTTCTGTGTTGTCTCTTCAAAGTTCAACCCAAATGCACACAAAATAAATAATAGAAATATGAAAAAAGTTGCCAATTTTCTGCTGAGAGACTTCCTGATTCATAAATTTTGTATTTTTTTTCAAATTCACAAAAATGTTTTCCTATCCTTCCTTTCCTATCCTTCCTTTCCAACTACTAAAAGCATCGTCCGACTCTCTTACTGATTCAAGTGAATGAAAAATAATAATAGCCCAATAAAAGCCCAAGCAGTGTACTAAAAGCTTCCTCGCAGAAGACTACTTATACTAAAAATAGTTTCCATTCAGCTGTAGAAACTTCTACTTGAGCAAAAAGAGGAAGCAGCTCAGGGGGGAGAAGCGTTACTGCTGTGATTGACAGTCACAGAGCTCTGACTCCTGCTCTGACTCTCCGCCGCTGATGTGTGTGTACACGAGCCGAGCCATTGGACCATCCCAGGAGGAGGGGCAACGAGAGGCAACACGAAACTCTCAAGGGAGACCGCCATGTGTCAGTGAGCTATATGAGATTAAACCACATGTTTCAGTCAGTAAATCGGAAGGAAATCCTCCAGTTCCTGCTTCTTAGATGTCTTAGAACATATTTGTGTTTTGTTGTTGGTCTCTTTTCATAGAGAGGAGAGAGGAGCGCAGGAGGCCTGGTAGGTGCTTAGCGTTTCGGATGGCTTAGACATGCGTAATGGTGAATGCCAACTTTAAAATGAACACTTACAAATAAAAGTTTCACTACCCAGTGGCTCAATAAATGTGGTCAACACAGGTCTCTCGCGAATTGCCTCGGTTTAATTGTTGTCTGTATGCTCGCTGCTCTGCCAGTGGCTGCTCCCTGACGCCCTGCAGAGCCGTTATGACTTTAAAAGTCATTGCACCTCTACTTTGGTTGGAATAAAAACACCTGCCAAACTTTTAACAATAAACATCTGCATATTCACACGGTCATTGTGACTCACAATTTGTGAGCATGTTAGCATGTAGCTCAAAGTCACTGTGACCATCTGTAACTAAGGTAAGCTAAGATAAGGCAACATAAGATCATCTTTATTTTCCAAGAGGGGCAACTTGCACAATCAGTCATCATCAATCAGCACGTAAACAACTAGTTGGATGGTCGAGTAGCTATGGAAACCACAACACTTTATAATAATATTGAACTGGATTGGCTGCATTGTTGGTCAAGAGAAGAGGAGGCCCCATGGTTACACATTAACCGTCAAGAGGCTCTCTCTGTCGGGGACCCATATTCTGGGCAGAGCGTAACCTTTTGGAGGAAAAGAACAGCAGGTTGCGAGGGCAATGGGGTAAAGATTATCAGTTCAGTATTTTTTTAAATGTTTCAACGTCATCTCTGAAGCAATAATAATAATAATAATAATAATAATCATCATTAACTGAGGTGAGGACACATCTCTTGATGTCATTAATGACGCTGCTTAATATGAAATACAGCACCAGCCCCCTGTGCTCACACTCCCATGGCCCCCCGCCCCTCACGGTGCACTACACTGAATAGAAACACTTATTTTCTTGGAAGGGGAGGGGCTTGCAAGTACTATTATCAATGATGTCGATATGCAGCAGCGCGATTGGGACTCCTCGGGCTCTGTCTGTGTCATGATAAGGCGGTTTCTTTCTCCCGCAGCACACAGAATGGTAAATGCGACATGTGAAATTGTGACGGCCTCCACATCAGCACACACAGCGCCAGCACAGTAAATGGAACCGGTGTCACTTTGGACGGCTGAAAGAAATGAGCACAATGGCATTGTGAGTGAGAAGATTTGAAAATGAAATGGACAAATCACCACTATTTTTATTTTTTTGAATCGTGTCATTGAAATTACATCAACTGCTGTGGCAGACTTGCTGGGAAGAGTGTGAGCGGTAAAAGTATTTTAGAATGTTTTCTATTAAAAAAAACTGTGGCAAATACAACTCCTTCTGAACCCATACTGGGAGAAAACTGCAGTCAACTCAGCAGACACTTGAATTTTAGTGCACGTATATGCTGACATTGACGGTATTAAACAAGTAACCGGGAAAAAAGCTATTTAATCAAAGATTCTGGACAATGACTGAAGTATGTGTGTTCATGACCCCATGAAGTTAGATAATTATCCTATATTTCAGTTCAAAATTACCATTTCTCAAAGTTTGAATTGCAATAAAATTACTTTCTCAATAATTCCAGTCAAAGACTAACATACATTTGTTAAGGACATCTCCGACTACTATTATAAGAAATAAATATTAAATATTTTTACTGTACAGATTTGTAGATTTCTTCAGAGTAAAAGCTCAAGATTTGCAAGTTCAGAAAGACCATTTCTCAAAGTTCGAACTGCAATAAAAACAAATTTCTCAATACCTCCAGACAAAGAGCAACGCATGTGTGTTAAGGACCTCTCTGATTACTAGGGTACTCAATATGAGGTGTTTTTACTCTCAATAGGTCCAGACTAGATTCTATATGTGTTCAGGACATCTTCAATTACATATTTTAAATATATTTTACATTTTTATCTGTCAAATTACATAAATACATTTTTTTTAGGTCCCGAAAATGCCATCACGAAACCTTATTGTCACAGTCAGTTCATTCTGTACACCTGCTAGTCACATTCACCTCGTCAACCCAATGACACTCACCTATCTACCCTACTCACTCCCTTTAGTAATTAAACTCGAGTCACTCACTCACTTGCTGCCAGGTCGTTCTCTGCATTCATGCTAGACCTTCCCGTTGCTGACCCTGCCGGTCTTGGACTACCGCGTCTTGCTCCTTCCCCTAGAATCCACTCAGTCTTTAACAATGATAGACATATTAACCTTCCAAACAAAATGTTTTATGCAAAAGATGGAAAAAAAAACACTAATTTATCCGTGTATACCATGAATTACACGCATGTGCGCCACTCTTCCTCGTTATGGTTTTTTACAACCGGGTCATCAGTAATCACCTACGTCCAAATGCCAGCACGAGCAGGGTAAGCGTTTTGAGATTTATTAGATAAACCGCTCTGTAAAGATGCCTTCGCGTCATTGTATTTGTTCCCACAATTATTTAATGTAATTAATTTCATTAGTTGTTACATTATGAAACATGTATTATTGTATTTGTATTTTTATGGACCTTTCATTAAAGTTAAATTATTAAATCTCAACCAGACAGCGTAGTTGATCAAATCAGAGCTATTATGTAACCACTGTGAAGGGGAATTATCTTATAAATTTGCGTGCGACCTCCGCGTCCGCGTGGCGCCTTTACCAGCGGACCGAGCGAGCGCGTCCCCACCGATGCCATGTAATGGTGTGGGAAAGCCTGCACTCAAAGGCGTTCCACCGCATTGATGCAGCCAACTAGCTAGCCAAACAAACACTGAATTGTCGACAAACCAACGCAAGGAAAAAGTCTGACGAATGGATAAAAAACATGGATGTTAAAAGTGAATTTTGTCCTCTTATAACTGCATCACTGAAAGTGTTTGTTTTTTTCCTATTTCTTGAGATTCTCCAAAGGCTTTACAGACTAAAACCAAAAACGCACGGCCCCCTGAACAGAATTTTGCAGCTGTGTACTTTTGTGCTAGACCACTTTAGCTCACTCAAACGGGGACCCTTACTACTGAACATGACCGGTTTAATCTGCCCCGATACAAGCCAAATGTTTCTTCTGGTACGTGCTCAGAAAGAAAAACGGTTCATATACTGTGTTAACTTGCTGTTATTGCAAAAGTGCCTGTTATATTCTTTGGAATTATGCGTAATCGCAGAACAATCATGCGATTAATTGAGTTACATTTTGTAATCCTTCACCCATCACTAGTTATAATGTCAATCTCCTAAACCGCTTAATGAATATAATTCAAAATTAACTAATGAGTAAAAGTGAAGGTAGTTGCATGAACAAAAATTTACAAAGATTGTATGTTTTATACAAGCAGTGAATCCTCTAGACTAGAATAAGATGTTGTTTGAGTTTTGGTCACTTTAGTGTCTTTATTTTACCTTTTTGGAAAGGTGAGTTTTTTCACTATAATGGATTATAAATGTTTTGAAAAAGGTGATGAAACTTTCGTTTTAAGTCCAGAACTATTTCCATAACAGCTGAAGATATTGTGCTGGTCATCAAGAAGCTTCAGGCCTCAGCTAAACTCCATGCTACTACCACTTAAGACATTAATGTCAGTCTCAATAAGAAGAGGGGTAAAAGTGCCTTTAATCGACACAAAAAGCTAACTACGTTTTTAGCATTTAAATAAATATCTGATTTTCTTTATCCAGATAATCTATTTATTGTCATTTTAAAAATATATCATTATTGTGCAGATAAATTAAGATGACTCCTCAAAAAGGACTAG